CAATATAATACTTATTTTTCAATATATATAAAATCCATATGAGGAAAAAAAACTTATGGAAAATTGAATAATAATTTGAAAAAATGAGAACAAATACTTATTTTAATGTATAATTTTTTTTTTGTCTTGAAAAGAATAAAAAAGAAATTTTCATACTAATGTAAATTAGACTGTAATTTAAAAAAGGGCAAAAAATTTTACACAAAAGATTGTTAGAGAATTATTCCTAACGAATGGTTATTTTCACACACAGAAGTTGAAATAGAAACAGAAGGAGAGAGAGAGAGAGAGAAAGGAAGAGAAAGAGAAATATCGCTGTTTTAAATTTGAAAATTCTATAAAATGCAAATTTTTCTTTTGATAAAGGAAGAATAGTTCCATGCTGGCACTTATTCTACCAAAATTATTCACAAACGAATTAGAATTTAACCATTCATTTTCAGAATAAAATCATAATAGCAACAGTATATTCTTTCGTTTTTTTCATTGATTTTGAAATAAATTGAGTAGTTATATTTGTAATTTAAATTAATTATTCCGGGCATACATTACTAAAGAAAGTTGAATTACTAATGTATTTTCATCTTATAACAAATGAAATTTAGGAAATTTTATCCGATTATGAAATTACACACAATATAATACTTATTTTTCAATATATATAAAATCCATATGAGCAAAAAAAAAACTTATGGAAAATTGAATGATAATTTGAAAAAATGAGAACAAATACTTATTTCATTGTATAATTTTTTTATTGTATAATCAAAAAAAATTTAATTGATGAAAAAAATTTTATAATTATTCACCTCATCAAAGCATTGTTATCAACAAAACACCTTTGAAGTTGACAAGCGTGAATCATAAATTTTTTAATTTACTAACGTTACGGTGCCCAAAAAAGTACCGCCAATGCCAGGTTAAGAAAAAAGTTCATAAGCTTAGAAGACAAGATAACTGAATTTAAACGAAAGTTCAATATAATGTCGAATTTAAAACATATGTATTTATTTATACGACAGAAAGTTTACAATATATTCAATCCTGATGAGAGAGCAACTGATTCGCCTTAACGAATTAGCATAATTTGTACGAATTTACACAATGCTTTAATTTATAGCGTACTAAAATTTCAAATGAGATTTGACAACATATCAAACATTTCATCATTACGAAAATGTTTCGAAACAAATAATCAAAATTATCGATCAAAAAAAAAGGAACGAATTAAATTTGGTATAGAACAACAAAAAATATAAAATTTTAATTCAAATGAAACAAAAATTTGCACTAAAACTTCCAAAGAAAATAATGAATAAAAAAAGCGAATTTTTTATTTAAAAAAAGAAATCATGGATTTAATTACATTTTGCTGTAATTCATTTTTCCTATCATTTTGTTACAATTTTTTTTTTTGTGAAGGTCATTGAACTAATAAGTATTATTAGTAATATAAGCATAAACATATTGGCAAAACAAAATAACTTTTTTCATTAATAACAATGATTTCTTTTTAACAAAAACATTCTTTTTTTTTTTGGTGACTGATTGCATTCAATGGGAAAATTTTTAAAGTGATGAAATTTTATATGAATTTATTGAAAAACATATTCCTATCAATCGTAATGGCAAGTTCAAGAATGCGTAATAAAAATTAAAGTCTCATTGAAATTGATCAATAACCAGATTTTCTTAAAATATAAGTATAAATTGATTGTAATTGGAAATAAAACAAATCACTGGAAATTTTGAATAATTAATTATTAATAGTTTTTCGTTTGAAAAAAAAAACGATGTTTATTGAAATAATTATTAATAAACATACGACTAATTAAAGATTTTTTTCAACGTAAGTATAAATTGATTGCAATTGGAAAAAAGATACCATTGGAAAATATATTATAATTAAGGAATAGAAGGTGAATAAAAACGTTTAGAAGGAAAGATGAATTTCCGGTCACTTTTAGGGAAACAATAAATATGAGTGATGTGAGATGAATAAGAGCATCAAATGCTTCTTCTCGACAAATGCTCTCCACGAGATGGATGTGCACATATGGCAATATGATGGACAAAGCAACTGACCAAAGAAAAAGCTAAGCTATCGTTGGCAGTAAGTTGAGAGAGAAATCGCGGCTAGTTCTTTGATTGATAGTTTCATATGAGTCTGACATGAGAATGAATAGTGCATACAATAATGATTGATTCGAGAGAAACACGTTATTTGTACGGATGGACAGATACAATACGAAAAAGGTCGAACAAAAATGTATGGTGACCCGGAAATTTTATTTCAAAATGATATTCAATATTCTGCTTAACAGCGCTTCCATTAAATTGCCTATCAATTTTTCCCATTTGAAAATTTTTATGATGCGTTATGAATATTAAATTTTACTGAAGGAATATACTGTGCATCTTTTGATGAAATGGAAAGTTTAAAAAAAAATCACTAACATCTAATATAATAAATGAAATGCTCAAATGTCTTTGTATTATTTATGAGCATAAATAATGATTTAAAATTATCGTTATGTGACTGTTTGAATTGAAATTTAATAGAAAATGAACGATAATAAAAAATATTATTATTGTTACAAAAGTTCAAGCCTTTAAGTTTCAAATAATTAGCATAAGTCATATCATATATATCTCACTTTAATTACATGCGTAAAATTGACATCTTCATAATACAATATACTGAAGTCTTTGAAACTTTTTGCATTTCTTTCAAAATAAAGGTAAGAACAGAGCTAAAAGCGTCCT